GAAGGGGAGTTGATTATTGATTTATTATGAATCAAATAAACTTCATGCCAGTACAAGACGTATTGGCATAAAGTTTATTTGAGTCTCTTCAATAAATAGTTTTTGACTTGAGATCTTCATCATAAAAAAAAAAACACTAGAATCCTACAGACTCAATATTCGCTCAAATTTGAAACATAGTGAAGGAGATCTTTGTAAGTACATGTTTTTTCAAACCTATTGAAAAAGTATTTGAAATTGCAAAAACGGAAAAATTCAGACACCTGGTCAAGAAAAACATCAAAGACTAAGTAAAATTGGAGAGAAGATCAATATTGGTAATCAAGAGTTCCTGGTATATAATCCAGCAGAATGTAACAAAATGCATGCCTCATGAATGGCACGCATGGGGGGTATTATGGGCAGTATACTCTGTTATGTCGATGGTACTGCTCATGTCTCTAGGCGACGGTTACCACTTTCCATCAGGTGGGCCGTCAGCTTGTTTGCCATTCTAAGTTGTATAAAAAAAAACACTCTTTTCCTTTTATTATATCGGCCGTTAAATATACGCTACTGAACATAAGCCTCCCCCTGTTGGGGGATTTTGCCAGTAGTCCTCAGGTTTGGCAGGCGTATTGTTCACCAAATTTAGGCTTTGGTGATATTTTAAAAGGAACGTTGCCGCCTATCCTTCGACCATTAAGCTCCCTTAGTGGCCTCTTACAATACCCACGGAAATGAAAGGGGTGGTACATTCTATGCTAGAAATTCTATGCTACGGGTATAGGTAGGTAGGTAAACTTTTTGCCTATACCTGTATTTAATAGTTTTGTATGATGAAATGTTTTATGTAGACATGTAACTGTTATAAGACAAATGAAGAAATTGATTGTTTTTTTTAAGTTTTATTAAGAAACGTCAAAAAATTAAAAACTTTGTATTAGTATGGAATATCAAAATTTTGTCATTTTTGTACTATGTTTTTTATAAAAAGGATTCAGTTTTATTTGTAGTAATTATTAAAGTTAGTTTTAAAGAAATATTTTATAAAAGGAGAGTAAGTAAAAGTAGTATATTACGTCTAAGTTTGTAAATTAGTCCTAATGAAAATATATTGCAATGCTCAATGTCTTTTCGGTTCACGCAGTTATAATAGCACTCAAGTTCGGAACCTGTCGTGAAAAGAAATTTCCGTCTTAGAAACCTCAAAGGCAAAAGCGGAAGTTTAAAGAAAGGCAGAGGGGAACATTGGCACTGCAAAGTTTAAACTGAACGATCCGACTGATAGAGTTCCGTTCACTATTTACTCTTTGATTTTATTAGCTCAAGTCAATTCGTTGGTAGTTATACAATTAATCTCTGATGCTATTTTCTTAACTTTTCGTATTCGCTTTTAGAGTTCATTATTTTTATTATTCTAAGATTTTTTTATATAACTTAGATTGGCAAACAAACCGACGACCCACCTGATGGAAAATGGTAACCGTCGCCTATAGATATAACAAAGTATACTTACTGTTTCGCCCATGATACGTTATACCCCAATGCGTTGCCATTCCTGAGGACTCAGTTGTTATTCCTCTGTACCCTGTAAATTCACGCCATATCCCACCCTTCAAACGGAAACACAGCCATGAAAACACAATTGCTTTACAGTTGAAATCCAAATGGGACAGAGGTGTCCAAGCAAACGACTTCTGTACAAAGTGTCCCTCTGGTAAATATTAATATCTAGTAATCTTAAATAATGTTGGTTGCATTTACATTCTGTAGTAAATATGTAATATTTTTGTTTACCTATCATTTAGACGCATTGTAGCTGATATTTTTGTAGTTTTTACTGTAAAGTATTATTAAAGTTGAAATTAATCAAATAATAGTATAATAAGTGACTTTTGACGTAATTGCATATCTTGAAACAAGTACGAGTAATGCTCATTTTAATGTCCAGTAGTGACCCGGGTCGTTGGGCTCCCCATAATATGGTTGAACACAACAATGGCTGGCTCATCCGTCATATTCGTGAATGGGTGCTTCTAGTAGGGACTGGTCTGTTCAAGAATACTGTGATTGATTGTAGCTTTGTAGTTTTTTATTTCCTTTCTTTTATCGATGCAAAGTTTGTAATAGTAATTTAATCCATTTATAATTTTTGTTGTAAACTTTTATTTGAAAAAAGCAACAACAGTATTTCTTGCCCGTTCTTCTCAGCTGAAATTGCATTTCGAACTGGGCGATAGATTTATAAAAAATTCACTATTTAAAAAATGTTTTGTATTAAATTTACTTAAATAAAAATTATTTATTCGTATTATACAAATATTTTTGTTTTATTTATTTACACATTATTGCACCATTTATAAGAATAATAAATACAGTTAATTTTAATGATAGGTGATACAAAAGGCGACCTCACTAAGCAATCTTCCAGATAACCTTTAGATAGAGGACATTGAGACAAAAAGACAAAGGTGGGTTTATTATATAGATACTCATATATACAATTCTTAGTACATCCTAATTGTTCAAATTATCCTCATACAATTCAAAATACACTAATTATCCGGCGTAAAGGATATAGACTTTTTCATCTCGATCAGTTGATATATCCCGGTTTCATGATGAAATCACGAGTACACATTCATTCTAAATCAGCATCATTAATAAATAATTATAAATCAATGACACGTTATATATATATATATAATTTATAATTAATCCTCTCCATCCAAAAGTTGCCTGGAAGAGATCGCTTTTAGCGATAAGGTCACCTATTGGTTTCTCATTGTGATTATTTCTTGTAATTGTTTATATCTAGAATAAGTTTACTATTGTAATCTTTTGGAGAAAACAATAAACAGTAAATATAAAACATGTCATTAAGTACCTAAATGCATACATACATACCTACATACCATAGTCCCGATAGCATTTGGTACCATATGATACTCATCAGGTACGAGGTAGCCTCTTTAGAAACTTTATAAGTCCGTCTGAGAAGTTGGAGTACCTAACTTCTGAACTCACCAACAGTATGTTATATATGTTTGAAACTATAAAGACCAGTAAAAGTTTCGAAGAGGATAAAAGAAGATATTTCAGTTTGTAGACACCTGGGGCCTAACCAACGTAATAAAGTAATACCACAGTATAAGTAATAGTACAAAAGTACAGTACAGACACTCCCTGCCGCCCACTGCGATCTAACCTCGCCCTCTGAGAGAAAGAGATTGTTAATGGGGTCTAGCAATATACCCTAACAGGTTGACCTCCACTCGGTTCCCCCTGAAAACTATCGTACCTAATTATAGATGAATCATCGGCCATGATGGGTCAACTAACTTGTTTTTATCTTTACCTATCATCTCTCATTGGTGCCCGGCCAGTGTATACCGATAACGCAGACGAATTCACCATTTCATCTTCACCCATTAAAAAAAGCTCACCCTCTCTCAAACACTCGTCAGCTACCATACTGTAATGAATGTCTCTGGGGGGAAGGAAATGAAGGTACCAATTGCAACCAATCCCATAGGTAGCAATTGGTACCTTGTCAAGTCGACCTCCATGTAGTCCCCCCCTGGAAATTATCGTGTTGAATTCCACATGCATCTATATAGGCTAACTGACCAGCCTTTTCATTCTTACCTATCATCCCTTACTGGTGCCCCGCCAGCGTATACCGTTAGCGCAGACGGGGTTACCATTTTATTATCAACCATTAAAAAAACGGATGTCTCTAGTCTACGCTTTAACAGTCACCGATATCAGAGAAGGACAGAGGATACAATATTTAAGACGTATGAAGAGGATAAGATCACAGTAAGAATAACTATTCCTAACTACACATGCACACATTGTCACATGCACAGACGTTACTTATTTCTGTAGCTGTGACAATCACGATTGACGTTTTTGTATGAAGTATTCAAGTTATAGTAATACTTTTAACTGTATAGAATAGTGGGAAATCGTGAGGATTCACTCTTTTATAAGTAATTTCAGTTATAAAATATTGATGTTTAAATTAATAAAATTAATTCGCAAGACGACGGTAGCCTTGTTGTCTTTCATGTTGTTTTCAAATAAAAAATGGAGTATTTATTTGCAAATATACATTCCCTAATCCGTGTGGTTCCAGCATAGAATAGGCTACACCTTTCTTTCTCGTGGTTGTCGTAAAATGCTAAGGGAGGGCGAAGGATGGGTAAAAGCGTCCCTCTTAAAGCATCTCCAAAGCCTAACTGCGCCTGCCAAGCGTGACAACTATTAGCAAAACCTCCCTAGGGGGAGGTTTATGTGAACAGTTGAAAGCTGATATGACAATGACATATATTAATTACAAAGGCTATTAAATCAATAAATAAATCTGACTACTCTGTAACAATTTACAGACGTGAGTATTCCTATATTTATTGTATCAAATGACAATATGTTTTACAAATCAAATTTATTTTTAACAAACGTAGAATACTTGAGACACTTGAGACATTTCAATTTATAAAAAACATTAAAATAATATTACGTAATATAAATACAAAAATATGAAGTTCAATTGAAAACTTCTTATCTATTTAAAGAACATTACTAATGTAAAAAATTATAGTATTTATTGAAGAAATTTTGTAGGTCGTGTTTTCTATATTACCTTGAGATATTACCTACTGAAGTTATATATATATATTTTTTAATGGGTGAAAATGGATTGGTAACCCCGCCCGCGCTATTGGTATACACCGACGAGGCACCAGTAGAAGATGATAGGTGAGAATGAATGTAGGTTAGTTGACCCACCATGATGAATTCGACAAAAATTAAACATGATGGTTTCCAGGGGGAACCGCGTGGAGGTCAACCTGAGAGGGTAAATTGCCAGTAATGGGGCTATTAGACCCCATTACTAACAATCCCTTTCCCCCCTACTGAAGTTATTTATGATGATAATATTTCACTGAAATTGCTTATAATTAAAGAACAAGGAAAGTTACGTGGAAAGAAAATAATACTCAAGCTGCGTTCGATTTATCTATTTCGGTGTAACAAACATTATTTACGGAATCATCTATTAAATTAGAATTTCATATTAACCTAATATAGTGAGAGAGCTGACGACAATAAATCATTCCTAACATCTATAGACGTTTATGATATTTCTAAAATCATTTTAAATGATGACACAGAGCTTTTCACGCATCATAACCACAATGTTGTATGTAATATGGAGTTGCAAGACAATAAACTACTATTCATCGATGTTCATTTGAGCAATCATAACGTTATATCAATATTTATCTCAAATTGGACGTAATGTGCATTTTTTTACATTTTGGACACGTTTCAGTGTAATACCTCCAAACCACATCAACAATTATTAAAGCTAAGTATAAGTTTATTGCAATCAGCTCTTAGACTATAGTCGTAGATGGTAAGTTGTTATGTACATCTACATGACTAATAATATTAGCTAATTGGGTGATATCAAATTTTACACAAGTGATTATGAACATTTAACGCCAACATAAATTTCAATATTTTACTCACATTTTAGTACAATGACATGTGTTCGAGCCTATTACTTATTGACACTTCTTGAACGTGTATATAATTTTTCCGTGCTATGATTTTGTGAAATCGTGGGTCGTACAATACTTGATTGTCTTTTAACATTATTAATCTTATCATACAGATAACCCATTTTTATCTAAACATATAAAACACAAAATAAGCACAAAATCTAACTTCAGCATTCTAACTCAACACCAAAATGTGACTTTTGTATAATAATTAAAAGCTGCTACACCGTTAAAGTATTGTAATAATATAATTTACACTTTGATTTTTTTTTTTTGTGAAATACACTTAATTCGTATTGAGTTAAAAACCACACGAAAACACAAATTGTTTCAGTGAATAAGCTGATCAATTCAATCTTATAACGCTTCATCAACACAACAGAAATCAAAATTCCGACTACCAACAATCAGCAACAATATTCAATACCACAAAACACTGTTCGTTCATATTTAATCATCAACACCGTATTTGCGCAATCCACAATCCGACGGTCGCATCGTACACGTCTAAAATTTGACGTGACATTCATTACTAGCGCTAGAGCGAATCTATCAACTAACTTATGGTCTTCATAGACGAGATTCTGATTCTGATCATTATATAACCACTAAAATTGCTTGCTACAGTCTACACGTGCAAGTACACGACTTTCAACACAGAAAAAAAAAAACTGTCAGGAAATTTTGTTTACAGACAAAATATACATAGTCTCCGGCAGAGTTTGTTCGGTGTTCATGAAACAGATTTGAATAGATGTGGCAATTGATTTTTTTGTCCATAAATGTGTATGTATCCATTGTCATTGGTTTCTCATCAGTTGATTCAAAAGTGATTAATATGAACTAATTTTTTTTATGAGCTGATGATTAAATGTCGAAAAAGTATAGACAGGCGCAGCTGTATGGCTGTGGCTGTCTTCCTATGGAGTGAGAAGTTCTTGTGAAAGAAGGTCTGATATCAGTGAATAGTTTTTGTAATATTACCATAAGTAAGTCGGTAGTGGAACATTTAGTTTTCATTATTTTAAGTTGTTTATGTTTACGTCTGTGAAAAGAAAAAAATGCCTCTTGAGACACGTAAATCGAATCGCATTGCAGGTGGAAAAGAGACTACATAAAATGGGATTTGTTTTAATTATATGTATTCGTTATGCCTTTTATTAGCTTCGCCATAAATATATGTAAACACTCAGACATTGTAATCTGACAAATTAGGTTTATTACATTTCATTTCAATGCTGCATTTGAATATTTCTACAAGTAATTCTGAGATAAGACTTTCAAATTTAGGTGTAGATATTTAAATAAAAATCTCCAACTTTTACATTACAAAATCATCTTCTACAATTTAAATGCATTTTCTTGTGTGCTTCATTAAAGATTATTGATTATTATTCATTACATTTCATTATTTAAACAATTTAAACCAAATAGTGATTAAAACTAACATCATCCTCAATTTATGCAGAGTTATACTCTTGTTACAATATACAATTCCATTACGTAACAATTCAACTAAACTATAAACATCTTATTAAATAAGGATTTATTAATTAGAACATTACATAGAGAGTACTTACTCGCAAACAAATTTGCAAATAATTATAAACAATAATATGCATACTCTCTTACATAATTATTGTAACAACATTATGTGAACCACAGATACATCAATTTCGAACATCGATACCAGTAGTTATGGTGGCCGAATACTATTTAATTATACTAATTAACTACTTTATACACGGCAATATTAATATTGCAATGAATATGTGAAAATAATTATGTCTATTTAATTAAAATATCACAATTTAAAACAAAATACTATCTTTTAATAGTATAACAAAAAACATAACAGAAAAAAACTTGTATGATATTACAGGATTAATGAAATAAAAGATATTATTCTATTATTCAACGAACCAAAACTAAGTAATAGCTTTTTGTGTACATGTTTTCCGGAGGCTATAAACAGTACCTAAAATATTCAGGAAAAGTTTCAAAAACTCTTTTGTTTTGTTCAGGCCTTTTACTGTATACCTAATTAAAATTTTATAGCTTAAAAATAAATTAGGAACAAAGTATAAAATATAAGCTAAATCACTTAGTAACCATTGTACTACAAGGATTCTGGGAAGAGTAAAAAACACCTCGGGCTTAATCAATTTCTCTCAAATCGAAGAAAATGGAATTGAAATAATGTCTGCGATTTCATCTGAGTACTTCGACTCAGCTTGATAGATTCATTTCAAAACTTCATTTTTTGCTATTAAATTAACGTAGACATGATGTGATCCTGAAATTTTCTAAAAACTATTGTTCGCTTGCGTGTTGTGTTTAACTGTAACTTAGACTAGAATCAGCACCACCTTCCTGTGTCAACATTATATTTTAAACTTATATATCTAGATATATGACCAGAAGAATAGATAATGAAGAAATTTGTAAAATGCCTAATATACATAACAAAACTTGTATTTGTCAGAAAACGTTTAACCATTGAAAATATTATATATAAATTTACCATATAGTGTGGCTGTATTCGTTTAGTTTGTAATTGACATTAATACACATATAATTTATATTACTGATGGATAAACAACACCAACAAAACAAGCAGTAAAAGTACAGTCAGTTTCATAAAATTGTCACAAGGTGATCGGTAGTAAATTTGGAAATTTTGTAATTTTCCTATATGAATTTTATATTAATATTCAAAATTATCAAATTAAAGGTATTTTGCAACCTTATCTGTCCCATAACTAGCTGTAACAAATAAACATATGAACTTTAGTAATGTTAGAAAGATTTATAAAGTATCTTACTACTCAGTCTCCAGCCCGAAATTCATAATTCTTCTGGAATTTGAATATATGTGACAATTTTGTCTATTCTTGACACTATCATATAAAACTGATTGTACTTATTAAATCCGTATAAATTTTACGACTGTGAGATATCTAAAAAATCAAATTTAAAAAATTAAGCACACATATAATATTTGTTTTTCGTTTAGAATCATTTTCGTTCATATGCTCTTCTAGAGCTTATTATTCTATTATTATTCAACTTAAAGATCTATTTACTAATTCATAAAAGGCATATTTCACTGTGTTCACTCACTATTTACATGTTTCGGCTCACGCTTTACAATTTGTATATGTACACATTAACACACCAGTTGTCGGAAATTCGTGCGACTAGAAATTTCTTTTTAAGAACTATAGCATTGGTCGTAAAGCTTTCCCAATTATGAACCACGGTAAATACGTGAAGATAAATGCTAATGTAGTTTGTGTGAGGTCAGCAGCCGCAGCCGAAGCGGCGGGAACAGGCGTCGGTGGCCCGAGTCGGTTGTTAGCACGCACCACTTGTGATCTCCATCGAATCCTATACAGCGGTTGTTGTCGCGACAACGCAACTAACCTATGAAAAAATATTATCTATGTCACTTAAAGCAGCAAACAAGCTAATGGTCTACTGCAAACAAGTGAAATCCTTTTTAAGAATATGCGATGATAATCCCGCCAACGCTATCGATATATACTGCGTTAAATAGCGATGCCGGAAGATGAAGTTAGCTCAGCTATCTCATCATGGCTAATTCAACAAAAATTTACCTTCAGATTAATCTAGAAAAAAATCACGTTGAGGTGAATTTTACAGAGCTATCAATATAGCTGGCAATGGAACAATTTAAGACTTTATTACGTGTACTAACAGATCCTTTTCCTCCAATTAAAATCGTTGCCTGTAGACAAGAACAGCACATGGATATAACAAGATACACTTCTACGACTGTACTCACTCGTTGCTATTCTTAAAGATGTTATGTTTCTGTATCCTGTAATTTTATTGCCATATCCCACCCTTCAAAGCGAATCACAGTCATGCCAGCTCAGCTACTTTATAGCTGAAACACCGAGGGACAGAGACATTTGTACAGTCTGGTAGAAAACTCTACAAATAAGTAAAATTGTTATAATCAACACATTATCGTTTGTTTGTTTATTGCTGAAAGAATGTAAATATACTACTATTTACTTGTGAAGAATGTATGTAATACATTAACACCTAATCAACGTTACAGTTTAGATTATAATATTGATAGAATAATAGAGCGAGTAAACATTTTGAATATTTAATATTTTGATTACTGAATACTATTAACGTACATACATAACAGGACTACATTTGAGTAGGTAAGCTATATATTATTTATAGTTTAATACATAAAATACTGCTATTAATTACGTATGTATGTATGTGAAAATCTTTTACAACCTAATTCGTTTGACCACTTCTGCAAATGGCAAATGTCCAACAGCGGAATATTAAAGGGTTGTTAAAGTTACTTCAAAATATTATTACATATGAATTTTAAAGATGTTAATATAAAAGCTACTTCTTATTAAACCTAAAATTCAGATAAGCAAAAGGGCATCTGAAGGATGTTTCTGTTACGAGCTCCCGATTTATCGACAAACGTATGTTTTCACACATCGTTATTCAGGATTTACGAGTGGAAATGTCATTTCGGAAACACGCCACGTACCCTCTTACGGATTCCTCTAATATGCACAAAGAAAAAAGATCTTTACACTGAGAAAGTAGCAACTCTAATAAAAGCATGCGCTCCCGCGTATTTGGCACGGCGATAGGTGTTAGGCCAAAGGCTATTCATAAATAATTTATCAAATGGATATCTGAAAAGTGAGCACTTTCTCGTCTAAATTGTTCAAGCTAAAAGCAGCGGCAGAAAGATTTTTTCTGCTATTGAGGATACGTGCCCAGGACTATATAGCCATTCGACAAGGATGATTACGAGTAGTGATAAACTTTCTTGGGTCACGTTTATCTCGTATACACGAGTCAGTTCTGGATGATATTAGTATTTTTGTATATTTGCAATATGTAGCAATATGCTTCAATTGTTTAATAAAGAATTTGTTATCATTAATAATACTAGTAATATTTGCATTCAAAAGAAAACAAAAATATTAGTAAGTATTTTAAAAAGTTTATACAATTCATGAAGTATTTACTTGAAATGGAAAATACAAAGTTTAGAGAAAACAAGACTACAGGACTAAGCACCCAATTATTTGTAGATAATATTTCTTACTCATTTTATTATAATAAAATAGGAAAACATGTAAATACCTAGCATAAAGCAAAGTCGTTCGTAGGGTCCAACTTTCTGTGTATTTGCCAAAGGCTTTAAAAGTATTTGATGGATTTGTCTAATTGACGCGGTTTTCTCCATTGTTCAGATAATTTCTCGAAATAAATTTTGAGTTATAACCATGAATATTTAGAATCATAATCGAGTACTATAATAAAAAAACAACGCTTTTAGATAATGTTATTACAATTGTATGAAAGTAGGTTGCCATTAATAGTACCTTGTGGATATAACATTTTTAAATGTTGATGCAGAAAAATTATATTATTATTAAAATGAATATCGATTTTAGGTAGTCGCCTAATGCATTCCCTTGCCATTTAGGAAAGGGTCTAATGTACGTACCTTATAACAACAGTGTTGAGTCGCCAAGGTAGCGTGTAAGTATGATTCTTATGTCGAGCACAAAAGGTATATAATAGTTCGCCAGCAGCCGCAGCCAGGCCTGCGTCGCTCTGCGCACCGGAACCCGACCACTCGTGAAGTGTGATGTTCCATGAGCCACATGACTTATCCTATATAAAAATATTATACTGTATTCATTGATATACAAAAATCCTAGACACGCAATTAGAAATTAACAAAGGCACCGAAAACGGAGCGCATTTTAACTTTGCACTCATATCTAGCCATCGAGTAAATTTTGCAGACAAGAGTGTTAAAATATTTATACAAAATAGGTATGTTGATCTTATTTTTACTTTTGAAAAAATATAACGTCCACATATAGACATATAGTTTCTTATTTAAGATAAGTATTTGACTCCATTCCTGTCTAGTGATTCCGATATATTTTTAATTTATATTTTAGGACAGTATGTAAATGGGATGTCGAATTTAATTTTTTTTTTGTATACCAATGGCTATTATATATAGACTAAGAGTTATCATTCTTAGTCTGGCATTCTCTTTTTACGATATTACATTTATACATTATCTACACTCTTACTTGTTTACTTATCCATTATGACTGTCAAAATAGTTCTTTTTTATTTTTTTTATTTATCAACACTAATATATATGTCTATTAATGTACAAAGGTGAGCTTATCTCTGAAATCTCTTATAATAAACTTTTATAGATGAAAGAAATCGCTATGAATGGATGTTGGTATTTTATTTATACAAAATTTCCCACGTATTAATTCTTTTTCATCAATCGGATTGTTAAGAGTACTTCTATCTATGAAAATAAAAGATTGATCAATATGGTTTGCTGTAGAAAGTATAAATGGATTTCCATTTATTTCATTCCATGAGTTTCTTTAAAGGTATTTACCCTTAAAGAAAGTTTCAGTAAAGTACGCTCCTTTTAAAATGATTTCGTGACCTATTTATTTTATTATAAATTGTGTGAGTATGTAAATAAACTAGATACATTTATGTCAGCGACACAGAGACGAATCTCTCTTCAATTAAATATTATAAGATATTTATCGTTTTATTTTTTGCACCATATATGAACCCTTTAGATACTTTCTCTTTTCGAGTTCTCAAGGTTAACTTAGAAATCCCTTTAAGGGATAAGTCCACCTGTATATGTTTTTGTTATAACCTAATATTTATATTACAAGTGAATGTACAAAAGCTTATAAATAAATAATTGCAAATAATATTTTAACCAAATATGCATGCAAGATCAATGTTGATGATGGATATAACTAGAAACATCGCCAATCATGACTGTATTATTAAAAAAAATCCGAATCAGGTGCCCTTATTCGTATTTTAACCCATATTCTACAGGGATTGAATTTGCAATTATCGGAGAACGAAACAGCGTGTTTAACCGCTGTACCACTAAGGTTGTTATCCATATTATATAAATTTATAGCTAAGTGTTATTTTATTATATGTTGAATAAATTCTGTTAGTTTATTACCTGTTCTGAAGATATATCAATAAAGAGCTGTCTCTCGACATTCGAGTCTAAAACCCAAGTGCACTGCTGGTAGAAAAACTCGTTCAAACTTCCAGTAACAGACACGTTCCTCGACGATATTTCACCTGCGCACGAAAATAAATGTGAAGAGGGAAAACCAAGAAATTTAAACGTGACATTTACGTGAGTAATAATGGAATGAGAAGGCAGACACAAGTCGCCGCAATAGCAACGCTGTAATTGGAACTTTACGATCTTGTTCAAGGTTTTTTCGATTCAATGTGGCTAAAACTGGGTCGTGGCACGTAATTTTGTCGGAATCGCCCTACGCTGCCGCCATGAACAATATCCGACGCGTTTTTCCAAAGGCCGGAGACGCGAGCCGAATGTCAAATTGAACTGTTTGTTTTTCGCTTTGTGCGATTGGGGCTCTATGGGGTTCATTCGAGGTATATTGCCTCCTCCGCGAGACATCTTTATAGAATTATCCGAGTTTACGTTTTGTGTCGTGATAGTAATACGAAGAAGTGAATTAGTGTTGCCTAATAATCGATTGTGATCAGATAGAATAACCTTAAAGATATCGAATGTCCTTAAAGTTTTACGCAATTATAATCTAATAATCTATTATTGCTATAGACTATAATCAAAGCTAGTTCTATACAACACTATTGATTAATTGAATCAATAAATCGATACTATCTATCGTAAATTATAATCGATTATTTATTAATACCCAATGTATTATATTGTATCATCAAGTACATAATCAGGTATAAAATGAACTTGTAGCCATAATCAAACTATCGATAAATAATCGATATTCAACGATTATTAAGCAACACTAAAGTGAATGCATGGGAAATTATGGATGCTTACCAGAATGCGTCGTGTACGTGCGCTGGCCACACATGGAATCATTGTTGAAGCTGTATGCCGCTGCGTAATCGAATCCCCTACTAGCGTATGTATAGTGGGCCACAGAATATTCCAGTCGGACGCTGGTCCAACTTCGTACTACCACCGGTAACCACGCCGCCTACGACAATGATATGCAAATTACATCGAACATTACCAATTATCAAAATCAAATAATAGAAATTTTACATCTGAATTCATCTAATTACAATGTTTCCTTAATAAATTCAACGAAAACTGAAGTCTGCGAAGAAAAATACGGCACGGAAACTAAGCGAATTCAGATTTGTGAAAAGAATTAATTCATGCTATCTTAATTAAATTAAACAAACTCTGTCGAAAAAAAAAACACTTTCAGTTTCTTGACATCTTATTATTATATATGTTTCTATTATTCTTTCCAACTTATTCATAAAAAAATTAAACCTTCTACAAATATACTTTAACTATGCAATGTTTTGTAATTTTTTTTAAATTGGGAATTTAATGTAAAAGAAAGAGACAATACAGTCCAATTATGAGAGATTTGACGTTTTTATGAATAAGGAGGTTCATTTTTTATTTATTTATATTCAGTATTACAGATCAAAATTCGTACATGAGGAAAGAACATATGAAATTGAAAATATGTTTTTACATAGTTACCTCAATACATATAATAGAATACTTTAGAATACTGATGACAAAACTGTGTTTGATTGAGTGGTTAACACAGTGTGAATACGTGTGTCGCTTATTGATAAATATGCCCTGCAACTGTCTACGCAATACCCATACGTAGTCGGCTGCTAAGTAATTGAATTTTCAGGAGCGAGACTCCGGCGTGTCGCCCGGGGCCATCCCGGCCACTAATAACAGGGGACGACGGATGACACGCCGCCAGTTAGGGCATGTTTTATGAGCGCCGATGGTCGCCGACCCCTACGCCCGTTACAGATATTGCCCAAACTTCATTTTGTAACAATGCCTTCTCGTGATAATTTCCTGCTGACACTGTCAACTCGTAATAGGGGTAAAGTATTGTTAATAATTAAACGCGAGCAAATATCAACATCAATTCATTCTAATGTTATAAACGAAAAATGTATTTGTTTGTTTGGTTTTGACGCTTTAATGGCTAAACGATTATCATGAAATTAGGCATATGAGAAATATTTTTTGAACACAGCTAACCAATTGTACATTGGTTAGCTATGATAATGATCCCAACGAAGTCACGGGTAAAAGTTAGTACAATAATAAAAGCTACACGTCGAATATTCGACGCAATAATATTAACTTCACCAAGTTACACGATACCGACATTAGGTATAATCGTGAAAATGGAAGAAGAAAAGTTTCTCTGCATTAAATACCTACTACAATAATGTAGGTGTACGCATGTTTACGCATAAAATATGTACATATATTCGTATCCTCCAAATCAATACTTGGAATAAAATTATGGAAGGGCTTCACGCATTTACCTAACCGACTTGGTAATCAGTTAATTGCTATTTTATTACCAAGAGGCTTACAAGTTTGCGGAGGAAAATTACTTTGGAAAGTAAACTGTTAAAATTGATTTAATGGTAAATAAAGTACCTATCTAACTGATGAGATTTAGTGTTTTACTATTAAATGTTTTGCTAATATAATAAAATTTTAGTTGTCGATGTCTGTAAATGTTATATGTACATGTTATATTTAAAAAATAAGACCAATAAATGTCAAAATAATCATTATTAGAAATTTTGTGTTTGTCTGTTTGTTTCGGCGTCACACTAAAATTACTGCACCAAATATTCAATAGGTACTATTTTCACAATTATATTTTTTTTATACAACTTAGAATGGCAAACAAGCTGACGGCCCATCTGATGGAAAGTGGTAACCGTCGCCTATAGACATGAGCAGTACCATGGTCATAACAGAGTATACTGTTTAGCCCATGATACCCCCCATGCGTTGCCATTCCTGAGGACTCAGATGTTATACCTCCGTACCCAGTAAATTCACGCCATATCCCACCCTTCAAACCGAAACACAGCCATGCAAACACAACTGCTTTACGGTTGAAACACGAATGGGACAGAGGTACCCAAGCAATCGACAAAGTCTCCCTCTGGTAAATTGTGTTGTGTGGTAAATTCCTTTGGTGTATTTCTGAAGATGTGTTTGTTGTATTTTGAACTTAAAATCTGCTGTAAGTTTCATTCTGAGACGCTGTCTAGAAGTAGTCTATTTCATAAATTTTCTGAAAGCCACGTTTACGAAGTAGCGGGCAAAAAGATAGTTAATAATAAACATATTGGACTTTAGAATGAGAGTATATGTATATGAGGGTAGATACGTGCCTGTAAATATTTGAAGGCCATATTTGCTTTTAGTCCTCCCCGTACGGTTAAGCGGACGTTCCACGCTTTATTGCTGTTACATACTTAATAGTAACCCTCTTAGTTAATTATGCGGACCGTGCAGACCCGGGAGAAGGCTACTGAAGGGTTGGTCCATCCTGTAGTGATGTTAGCAGAAGCCTCAAGTACCAAGACTAATTTATTTGTTGCCCTCTTTCCAAAGAGCTTAACGAGTGACCTTTGAAACGCGTAGTAATTAGATTAAAATATACTTAAAGTAACAAAGGCATTTATTTATTAATTATTAACATACAACAAGAAAATAATTCATTTAATGAAGAATAAAGTTGATAGCTGTAATTAATTATAGAGGAATTCTGTGATTAAATAGAATATCTAAGCGTGTGATTTCATTTGTAACTTGCTCAGTGATTGACTTGAAAGTCGTCTTTTGTGTTTGGAACCATTAATATCAATTATTTTTCAATAATGTCTGCCCAAATAAATTCATTTTAACGAGTAGTCATCTGCGTATCGTATCTACTTGAAGAAGTACTTATCTATATTTAGAATATATTTAATTTAAAGTATAATTTATAATTATTATCCTAGAATAAAACCTAATAACAACAGCATAATAGTAAACTCTTTTAATTTACAAAATAATTATCGAAAATTATTAAAAAATATATTAAAAAAAAAGTCGAATTAAGAACATTTTCTTTTTTAAAGTCACTTGAAAAGAGAAAATTATTTCAACCTTAAATTCCTATTAATATCATAGTGTAGATATCATTTCTTTTAGTTCTTTATAATATATAAATTTATATTAGTATATTTAAATAGTTTGCTACCTCATAGCGCCTTGATGGCTTACCAAATCGCTATGAAATTTGGTATACACGTACTAACGGGACTGTCAATTGCCGCTGCCCTACAAGAAGCTGAAGACCGTGCAAAATGGAATAGCATCATAAGAAAGACAACAGATACCTTTCAAGGACACGACCTTCAGTAATGAAGAGGACGAAGAGAGAGTACTATGTAGGATAGAGCAAGACTACGCTTAGCTTATATTTATTCCGAGAAGTAAATGTAATGTCCAGGAAATACGGGATCACTCAATTAAAACAACCTTAGTTGATACTCCAGGTTTTATTACTACCTTCCGAACTTTTATTACAAAAGTACCTTCACTACAGTAAACATATTCCGGTCACACAGACGAAGTCGCGGGTAAGTGCCAATAGACTCCATAAATAGACAAGTAGTCGAAACAATAGCATATTGCCGTTTGTAGATTAGATACGTAGCTTAACCTTTTTATCTTATAAGCGGCAATAGCGCAATAGTTTATAAGCAATTTATTCTATTATACAATTGTTTATATAATTATTATTCAAGCTGGTTAATTATTTACGGAGTCACTAACATGAGATGGTTTCTATTATTTCTAGAAGTAAAACAAGTAGGTATGCATGAAAATGAGCCTCATAACTTACTTGAAAATCACCGCAAAGGCACGACAGATGAATGCCATCGCCTGCTACAAGTGCAATGTGGTCATGGTAGTGAAGTGGCGTGTTGGCCCGGCACTCGCAACCAGCGTCGCCGCAAGCAGTGCGGCACCCGGCGGCACCGACTGTTCCTGTCGGTTCCGCGCTCCACATGCGTTCCAGACGTTGAATCTGTTGTTTGTATTTTTTTTATACAACAAATGTGGCTATTGAGAATATTTCTCGCCTGATAGTAAGCGACTATAATTGGCCGTGAAAGTTCCTAATATTAAACATAATTCGCAGTTACGGAGTCTTCAGACATGAACATTTTAAATCAGTTAGCCTTACTTAGCCTTTCGTAAAAAGTAAGTAGGTATATAATTACTTGATTAATTTATGATATATTATTATTATACTTATATTGATTGATTAATTATAGTACTGGAATTAAACAAAATATAATTTAGTATAAAAATATTAATTCAGTATAATTAAAATTGTATACCACAAATGAAACCGTCTTAAATTGTGACAAACCAATTATTTTGAACTGAACTAATTTTGATAAAACTTCCATGAGACTAATCAATAAGTACATCCTTTCAGATATAAAAAAAAAATCTAAATTGGTTTAGAACTAATGGAGTTATGGGGTAACAAACACAAAAAAAAATACAACCGATGTGATAACGTCTTTCTTTTTTAAGTCAACTGAAAATTGGCAGATAATTGCAACATAGCCACGCTCCATCAAACTAAAGTTATGAACGCTTTTAATTCCATGAATATGTAGTAATAAATCTTCATTTCGATAAAGTCAATGTAGTTTTCGTTACTAACCCCATATTTGTTCTCTCTCTTAATTATTAGTTTATTAAAATACTGTTTATTTTCCAAAAAAAAAGTAACATTAATATGCACTACGGATATTTTATATTCCAATTTTTATGAAAAGAAATGTTCAATCTAGTTATTAATTCTTGAGAGCTGGGAATGGCTGGTACAACATGACATACAAATACGAAGCTGTTTATCTTCGTAGACAAGGAGTACTGTAAGTTGCTAGCTTATTTATTATTCCACCGGTAAAAGAAACAATAACAGAATATCTGAATGTATTTGAATAAATCATAACCAAAAAATCTATTTGAAGTATGAATATGTAGAGGTAGACTCACTTCAATGGTTACGCTTTGGTTTGCAGCTGGTATAAATCTATGAGTACATAACAGTCTTTCTTCAATGTTCCAGAAGATATGATGATGTGACGGAGCTGCGACGCCACCGTGCGTGGGCGCAGCCAACCCGTAATGGGTCGCTGCACATGTTGCATCCGGGGATGCTGTGCCTTCGTGATGCTCTACAGAAAAGAATATAATAAATATCTCTTGTCAAGTTTCCATCTAGTACCAAACTAAGCAGTGTTGAAAATAATAAATTATTATTATTATTTCAGTCATTAACAGTCCACTGCTGAACTTAAGTCTTCCCCTTAACGGGAGTTTTGCCAGTAGTTGCCACGCTTGGCAGGCGGGTTGGCAACCGTAGATAGGCTTTTAGAGATGTTTAGATGTAAGAGAGCCCCTTCTACTCCTCCCTTAACCATAAGCTCCCTTAGTTGCCACTTATAAAACCCACGGGAAAGGAAGGAGTGGCCTCTTCTATGCCGGAATCTACAAGGCTAGTAAGCAGGGAGAGTTTGCTCAATGAATACGACAACTGATAAACATACGTAAATACTTTTCTTTGTAAATGTGTATACATTTTATATATAGAAATCACCCAACTAAATACAAACATATATGGTTTTGAATACAAATGTATTTATTGTGCGTTGATCAAATCCATTACAATTGGAAAATAAGACAATGTGTTAAACAGCTATACCACTATGGTTCTCGTAAACATGCATTTATACAACATTTTAGGATTCTTATCACGATTATATATTTATTTGACCATACTGATTTTAAGTGATATGATCAATACGTGAGATCATGTTTAAATCATAACCATGGTTCTTGCAGTAGGATTGAAAAACAGTGAGTTTAATATTTTTGATGGTAATTTATATATTTGTCCTGTTACTGATGGAAGTAATTTATCAATTTCTTCCGCCTTCGTAATGAATTCAAACTATAAAGTGAGAATCGAATATTCTAAATAAATAAATAATTTTTGAATTTCTGATGCATCTGATGCATTTCCTATGTACCTATATCTCTAGAAAAAATTAAGTAATTATACTAAATTCTTTTATTTAATTAGATTATGACAGCGTTCTAATAATTTTATAATGTTACATAACACAATATGATATAAAACTATTTTTTTTCTATGCATTAATATTTTTTAAATAAATCCAGTACATGGTTAGGTTATATCCTAAATTAATACATAGGCTACTTCATATTAGTATATTGATTCACATGACCAAACAAAAAATAGTTTATTTGCTTGAAATATGGTGTGCATAAACTAATGAATGTAGTTTTATATATTCTACTTTATGTAATGACATGCAAAAATTTCAATCACAATTTATTATAATAAATATTATTAATTCAAACCACTGTAAACAATTGGTATATAAATAAATATACAAAATGGTTGAATCCTCACAAACTGGATTGTGGCACTCAAATTATTGCACCTATAAGATGCTATTATAATGTTAAAGTATCAATAAAAGAGTTTTATAAAAGCTGCGTATTAATCCGATATAATTTCCATGTCAAAGCGATGAACAGAGACTTCGCGTTCCATTTCCTCGCCTGTGATTGCTTACAAAAGCTATGCAAAAAGAAAAGAGAAAGCATAAGGGGAACAACGTCAGCGTTTTCATTACTTACATGGGTCTATGTTCAATCCAATACATTTGGCTTGGGTTTGTATTTTGTGTTACTTTTTAAGCTTGAAATATTCAGAAAATTATGTAATCAAGTAATAACTGTTTAACTATATATTATATTAAGGTTATTTTATTTAGGAACTCATTTTATATTGGGCTTTGTTTACTAAATTGGTTTAATAATGAACTACTAGAGATTTAAGAAAACTGAACCAAGACGTTTGTAAGAAATGAAATGAAATTTATTATTCATAAAAACAAAGCTGTAGTTGAAATAAGTTACAGTACTAATATTAATATTATCATTTTAAATGGGTACAGTAGTTGTGATTTCAGAACTGGCCTCCTAAATAAGTATAATAACCTTTGTTATGAGATTGCCTTTGGTGATTATCATATTATTTTGTTATTTTTAATACGGTTTAATATTTTGCATTTAATTCAACTAATAATGTTATGATGTAGTAAAAAAATAGTGAATATCTGTAGAACGACTCTTGTAAGTTAAAATAGTTTGAAAACGATAAAGATTTTCAATTCGCATAAGGTCAAATATGACTCATCTAATAATTTGTAATACTAAAATCATAAATAGTTCTGGAAACAATGAAATACATTCATTCTTAGTGTAATACATTTGAAAATAAAGCCTTATGGCTTACATTATATAAAGAATACGATATCATTTCCAAGATTAAGGAAGTTATTACTTATAGCCTGCCGCCTTCGTAACTGGAGACGACAATTTGCCACGCGAACATACTACATCAGTCTATAGTAGAGGTTTTACTAACACGAGTAATTACGGTCATAATAAAGGGTTATTACTGTAATTTAAGACCTACCTATAAAACCCTTCATCTGTAAGTAATTATTACGACCTAAGGTTTTAGCTAAATCAAATAAGTTCTTCATCGTCATCATTTCAGCCTGTATCTATCCTCGGCTAAAAATATGATTTCCCCAACGCTTTCTGCTATATGTGATTGTCCGGTTTTTAATCTTTTAATTTTCTACTGTTTTTAATTATTTCTTATAAGCAGCATATATATTGCTTCAACTCATAATAATATAAAACGAAACATATTATCATCATATCATATTAACCGTTATCTGTTCACAGCCGAACATAAGCCTCCCCCATCGAGAAGGGAGGAGGGTTGCCGATAGTTGCCACGCTTGGTACGTGGTTTAGCAGTTAGGCTTTTGATGATATTTTAAGAGAGACCTTGCTGCCCATTCCTCAACTATTAAGTGACCTTAGTCGCCTCTTACGACACCTACGGGAGTGGAAGGGTTGATACCCATACAACTGATATATAGTTGATATAAAAGGTGAAATTAACATCCTTTTATGGAAGGTTGTCTGGAAGAGATTGCTTAGCAATAAGACCGCCTTTTGTACTACACTATACTTATTGAAAATTGTTTTAACAAATCATGTTATGTTGGTGCAATAAAGTGTTAAATAAAATAAAATAAATAAATAAATAAAGTATATTCTATGAGTGAAACTGAATATTTTCTGAAAGTAATATGTATCAAAAATGATGAAAAATTTAGTGCTGCCCATATTAACTGTACAGATAAATGCGCCGTGTTAATATGGAAACTCAAACATTTTCTTTGCGATTAATATAATATTCAGATTCTTAATAGAATATTCCCTTAAAAAGATGCAAAATTTCATTTTACTGGATATATAGGTATGTCGTATGTTATAAATAAAATATATAAAAAAAACAACAACGATTTTATAAAAATAATGGAATTTCGTGTGGGGTTTAATATTTATTGGTTTTCCGCCTTGGGCACAAGCTTTTCTGCTCGTCTTCCAATAACATTAAGGGTGAGTCTGAAATTTGCATCGCGCGGTATTTTTCGTAGAATTCTGGAGCACGTGAAAATTGTATGAAGCTGCACGCGTGTGTAAAAGCCTAGCGAAAACATTCGATTTTTTTTATTTCTTACCCAGTCTAATAACTGCGTGACAAGAAATCTCAGTGGAAGCTTATAAGTAGTATTTCTTACTTCTAAATAAAATTGTGATATGAAGGATTACATCTCACAGTTTATATCATAATCCTAAATGATCGCATATAGGTTATACCTTGGTCGTGTGGTCCCAGCATACCCACCCCTTCCTTTCCTGTGAGTGTCGTAAGAGGCGACTAAGGAACAGCGAGGGATCGACATCAGGGTCCCTCTTAAAATATCCCTAAAGCCTAACTGCGGTTGCCTAGGCGGATGTTTTTTTGATGCGTGAAAATGGTATGGCCTGCGCTAACGGGATATGCTAGCGGAGCACCAGTGAAGGGTGATAGATGAAAATGAAAACAGGCCAGTTAGCCCATCATGATGAATTTATCAGAAATTAAGCAAGATAGTTTCCAGGGAGAACCATGAGGAGGTCGACCTGGTTGCGTATATTACTAGCGATGGGATTCTCAGTCTCCATTATTAACAATCCCTTTCCCCCCTACCTAGGCGGATTAGCAACTACTAGCAAAACTCCCAAAGCAGGAGGCTTATGTTCAGCAGTGGACAGTTAAAGGCTGGTAAGGTTATACCTGTTTCTCATTGATATTTCTATACTTCTATAATATAAAATAACACTACCTTGTAAAATACTCACCATCGTGAAATGCAAAAGCACCATCCACGAATTCTTCTTCATCTACGCTTTGTGACGTAGCGCGTCGCACCAATATAGTCAAGTTAGCACCTTTGGACGTCACCGCTTGACGTATGAGGAATCTTCCAGAGGGATCTCTCGCCTCCCTCACGGATGGCCCACAAACTCTTAAAAGAGCCCGATCCCCTCTTTCTGATCGATCACCTCTATCACCTCGCCCTCCAAATTCGTGGACACCTTCTATAATCTCAATATGAGATCGACAGCTTTGTAACCTGAACAATTAAAATAGGTAGTAAGAGTTGTGAACGTAACTCTTCGACATATAAACATTTTGTCAAGCACGTTTGAATTTAGCGGATTAATATTAATAATTATATTTAACCGACTTCAGAAATGGAGGAGATTCTGAATTCGGTTATATCTTTTTTGTCTGACACCTCAAAATTTCGTTATTTAAAATAAAAACCAATTTGGAAAACTCTTTATTTGAAATACTTTCAGATTGATTTCATAAAAATAATATCAAAATCTGTTTAGTAATTTAATTTTTAAATCTAAATAACTAGTCTGTTTTGTCACGAATAAATCTAATTTTTTTTATGGAAAAAATCTACTTAGAAATAATCATTTATCTCCCTTTTACCCTCTTTTACTTACGTATAATAAACAATAAAGAAACCTAAATTCGACATTAATTTTCTGATAAATCTTAATACTAATCCATTATACTCTATATATTTAAAAAAGCAAATGGAACAAAATGGAATAAAATGGGGTGGGGTCGAGCGGTATCAAGTAGGGCGAAGCGGGATCGAGTGTTTCACAGCTTTGCGATGTATCGAAAAACAATATATAAATTTGTATGTATAAATATGTATGCAACAAACTTTTAGTTCGAGTAAATATAAAATTGTGTTCTACAATAAATAAACCTAATTCAATATTAATTTTGAATTAAAAATTAAATTACTGAACTTATTTTGATAAAATTTCTATGGGACTAAATTGTAAGTATATCCTTTCAGATAGAAGAAGAAGAAGAATAGAATTTTCCAAATCAGTTTACAAGCGATGAAGTTATGAGGTAACAAATATAGAAAAAAAAATAGTACGGAATTGAGAATTTCCCTCTTTTTGAAATCGTTTGAAAAAGATGGGATTATGAATTTTTAGTAATACATGACAAAAAAATTAAGTTTCCTAGGCTATATATGTATAAATTTTTAACATTCTGAAACTAGTTCTCTATGAATCGATCATAAATAGATGTTTAAAATTGTTTTATAGAAAACTATATAAATATACATACAGACACAATCTTAACTTTCATTAAATGTTGCTGCGTCTTTTCAATTAATATAACACTAATTTTGTGCTCATTTTATCCTTCAATGTTTCAAACAGAAAACATCATTTTATATTTCAATTACGTTTCGCTTTTATATTAATGATTAGGATACGTAAATTTATTCCGAAATTGTTATAAATTTCTGTTATTCGTTACACGTGTATATATTTTTTGGGGTCATGACAAACAAATCACAATGTAACGATTGAAATCCCTCATTATTTGCGGTCGGCGGCTTGGTCAGGAGGCGGTCGAATAAATCTAAAAAAGATGCTTGTCCGGACGGTTATGCGATACAGCCGCTTTAAAGGGTTACTAATGTATTGTACATAAATATTCATTATCTTGTTTGCTTCCCTAACAATGTAACGTTTAATGGACCTGACGCGAATATAAATAGATGGACTAAAATATCGTTCCCTAAAAATATGCGTAAATTCACCCGCTAGGTTTTAATAAGACAAGATCAAACGTACATTACTTGGGTAATAAGGAGCTTTTTATTAAATTCTATCTACTTATATGTTGATATTTCGTATGTCATATCCATATATTTAGATTTATATTAAAAAAGTTATCATCAGCCTATTTTATATTTTATTGCCTGACTGTACTGGTATAATGAAATAATAAAATGATTAAATAAACTATTGAAACTGAATTTAATCTTCGTTAAGCTTACATGCTTCGTTAAGCTTAAATGTTGAACTTGGTATTTATGGCTACGAGTAGGTATATGTTAACCGCAAAGGCTGTTGCAAGGAAAACGGAACTAAATATTTAAACTAGTGACCAACACAAATAGTAACAAGTACGTACGTAAAAGTAAGTAAGTAAAAAAAGTAGTATTTTTTTATATTATGACATATATATATGATAAACTATTATTATATTTAACTCGGAAAAAGGGAAAAAAACTCTGTAAATGTATAAGATAGACTACATGACGAAGATATGAAGGTTGTCGCATTAAAATATAGCGACAGAAGCAAGAGAAAAAAAAAAACCGCAAAGGTTATTGAACAAATATAATAATTAGTTATATTTGTCGTCAATATGTGAATAAATCTTACCTTAGATTATAATTAAACAGTGACACTTGCACCACATCGGTGGGTGCACCAAGCAAGTGCACAACGCACTGAGACCGCCACGCTGTCGCTCTTGTGTCGAAGTGACCGGAGCGCGCGCCGCCGGGACCGTACGCGCGGACAGTAGCACCACACCCGATGCGACCTCCGCCATTGTTATGCGATACTTCGTTCGCCGCCGAGTTGCTGTCTATTATCGCCATTCTATCCACTGTATACCCACAAAGTTCATATTACACTCTCAGACTAACAAAATTTTCATATACAATAACTGTGGAATAGTTAGGAGTCTCAAAATTAGTCGAGTATTCACGACAACAATACGTAAATTAACTCGATTATATTTTACAATTAAAATAAAAAAATAACTGAATCTCTAAAACAATAGTCAACCAAATAAATATACTCGATAACGCATATATTCACACCAAATCATTTTTTTTATACAACTTAGAATGGCAAACAAGCTGACGGCCCACCTGATGGAAAGTGGTAACCGTCGCCAATAGACATGAACAGTACCATGGACATAACAGAGTATACTGTTACGCCCGTGATACCCCCCATGCGTTGCCATTCCTGAGGACTCAGGTGTTATTCCTCTCTACACAGTAAATTCACGCCATATCCCACTCTTTAAACCGAAACACAGCCATGCAAACACAACTGCTTCACGGTTGAAACACGAATAGGGCAGAGGTACCCAAGCAATCGACTTTTGTACAAAGTCTCCCTCTGGTAACATGCTTAACACTTTTTTTTTACCACAAAGGTATCAAATTGTATCCATATATAAAAAGTGATGTCTCTCGCGTTGTTCGTGTGTATAGAATACGGTTTCTACTTTCCATTAAATGAGCCATCAGCTTGTTTGCCATACTAAATATCATAAATAAATAAGCTTAATTTTTATCACTTTTTTTATATCATCGCCTCATTATTGACTTTTTTAATATTCATAAATTTTGTCTTGACATAATTAAATTAAACCCCTGAAGCAACTGTATAATAGTTTGTTTATCAGACTTAATAAAGTGTAAAAAATACTAACACTTTCTAACTTGTAGCTTGTCTTTGTAATTCAATAGTGTTACGTCTATACTCTTTTCCTTGCTTTGAAATTACACTACATTTTATTAATAAAAATTATGTTTACTCGTAGATAAAATTCAACAAAAACATATTATTTTATTATTGAGTTATATATTTGATTAAAAAACAAATAGTGTATGTATAAAGCTTCTTATAAAAACGTATTTACATAACGTTACATAGGTACAAGAAGAAGACTAAATAATCAAATTTTTATAGTTTCAACATAATCGCGATATAAAAGGAAAGCTTAAATTCTGTACACAAAGCACTTTTTAACCGACTCCAAAAAGAAGGAGATTCTCAATTCAGATGTTTTTTTTAATGTTTATTACCTCATAACTCCGTCAGTTATAAACGGGTTTGAAAAATGCTTATTTATCTCACAGAATATATTTACAGATTAGTCTCATTGAATTTTTATCAAAATCGGTTCAGTAATTTAGTTTTTAAATCAAAATAACTGGTTTTGCTACAATTTAAGTAGATTTTTTTAATGGCACACAAATGATTAATCTCCGCTTTGATTCAACTGTCTTAAGTTTATATAATAATATTTGTATAATACTAACTCTATATATGTATATATATAAAGTAAGTATAGCATTATATAGAGGAAGACTTACCATTTTGCATGTGATGCGTGAGAGCTGCAAGTGGAGCGGATGGTGGTACCACAGTGGGCGGAGGACCACTGCTGTCAACCCTCTCTATAAACTCCAATTTGGCGATGAACCCATTGTAGTCGTACCGCGGGACTAACGGCCCAGAGCTGTTCATAAATGTTATCAACTCAGAATTTCGACATCGGGTACATTACGGCTCAAATTGCTTTTGAGGAGTTACCAAGTAATAACTTTTAGCAACACTTGTGAGTGGCTCGAGATGTCGGAGTGGTACAGTTTCCGACTTCTGTTTCCTACACAAACTTAACAGTCATGTTTAACTACATACATACATACATATAACAAATATGTATGAGAATTTATATCGACTGTTTGAAATAAAGTCATATTCATTCGATCGACTGACTTTAGTACATATAATAATTATTTCTTGCAATGGCTAAAGATCTCGAAGAGTGTGAAAGGAACAGGGTATATTTTACAGGAAAAATTAAACGATGTTTTTAGCTGCCGCAGTTTTTAGGAATTTATATAAAAAAAAACCTCTAAAAACAAACTTATTTTTGAGGTGGAGTTTCTAGCCATAGTTGTGGCCTAAAATACGGAATTTCTACTTGAAATAACAATAATAGAAAATCATTTATTAACATTTGACATTATACTCAGCATATACTGTGGTATTCGATAATATCATAATACTGCTTTCCAGTAGCGCCAATGAACATATAGTACTATATTTAGCCAATAGATGGCGTTGTACAAATTTAGATTACAATATGGTGTCTTTAGAGGGACGTGTAAAAATTCAAGCACTATACTTAATAACTTCGTTCGTGTCGTGAACTGATTATTTTTTGTATATTATGATAACCGCGCCCTGCGACACGTTTACGTCCATCTTATAAATCAATATTTGTTTCTGTTTTTTTGGCTTTACCTGTTCATATCATAAAATCAGCATATTCAAATAATATATATAATTTATTTTATTTTTATCTAAAAAAACAAAACCTTTTAGAGACTATTTTACGTGCGGAACTCTCGATGAGTTCAACTTATACTTGACTGATTTTTATTATTCAATGAGCAAAGAGCCAATCAAATCTGGCCTCGTTAATGAAACGAAATTCTACTTAAGTAATTCTGTTTTATTTGTCTATCACAAAAACAATAATATTAGCATTAATTTAAAAAAAAATAAACCGGCTTCTACAAATTTTATATTATAACATACAATTAAAAATGAATTATAGTGCGTAACGTAGACCAAAAAGTTCAAGCTGAGAACTTACTCCTTTTTAAAACCGGTTACAAAGGCGTATGTTCAGAACAAAATTAATAATAACTATAAGAAAACAAGTGTAAACGTACCTAAACTCTAACAGCAAGTTTGGCCCCGGATGCTCCAACGTGGCGGTTCTTTCTGTACAGATCGATCCAAGAAGCGGAGCCGATGGGGAGTTGCCAGCACGTAGCGTCAGATAGTCCGTGGCACAATGACTGAAAGATAAATGAGCTTATAGTTGTGTTTCCTCATAGTTTTGTAATAAATAACTGTAAGTCTATTTTATCAGATTGTAAAAATTTTACGTTAAAATACGTTTAAATATTAAGGTATTAAAATAAATTAAGGTTTAGTGAAGATAAGAGCAGACTATGTAAAGCCAGTCTTTACAAGATTGCATAGTACCTAATAGTTATGTCTAAATTATATTGAAAAACAAATAGTAAACAGTCATAACATGGGTTTGTTTTTCTATATAAACATCATAAAGACCTTAATTTATATAAAAGAATAAACATAAAGAGAAACGAGAGTAAAAAAGAAATAGTTTTATATATGTTTTTATCACAAGTATGATATTATCTAATATTCGCTTAATTAGAACTACTAGACCACAGTTGCCTTCATTTTGAAGTTATATTTATTTATTATTTATACGAACTGAGTATTTTACTTAGCTACATATTTACAACATTTGTTTTTTTTTTACAACACAGGGGGTTGTTGCCGTATTGTCAGGGCATAGAATGGACCACCGCTTTCTTTCTTATGGACGTCAGAAGAGGCGACTGAGGGAATTTAATGGTTGAAAGATAGAAAGAGGCGTCTCTCTTAAAACACCATCAAAACCAACCAACATGCCAAGCAGGGCAACTACTGGCAAAACTTCCCAAGGGGGAAGCCTATCTTCAACAGTTACGGGTTAAGGGTTGATATGATGACGATGATCTTAGGTCAATCATATTCCATTTATTGGAATCTGTTTAACCATTGAGATAATCTTACTTTGCTCTGAGCCTTGCTGTGAAAAGAAATAGATCTATCTTATTTCATATTATAAAAAAAGTATTGAATCTTCTTAGAAAATGGTATTTTGCTATAACCGCAACCTATTTTACCTAAAAATAGAAATACAATTTAACTCTATAACGCAGCTCGAGCGGTCAGTGACATACTAAAATTGCGTTTTCGATTTCCAATATCCTAATCAAATATTTATTACTCACTAGCTTTGCATAAACTTACTCGCATGGTATTTGTATATTCCTGTATAAAAAGTTCGTTTACTTTATGTATTCAATATTGGAGCAAAATCCGCTAGGAAATGTACTAAATCAATTTTTCTATAAATAAAATTTAAAATACCATTCCTGGTCATGCCATAATACTTGCTTCGTCATAGAGTGATATTATTTATAAAAATATGTGACCACTCGTCCTAGACAGTATTCATTACAGTTATGTCTAGAAAATATCGGTCTCCTGGGAATTCTGTGTAGTTGTATGAATTTACCTAGCTTATGATATTTATGACTAGTATAAAGTTACGTACCGTTAAAAAAGTACCGTATCATTTAAGAAAAAAAATATAAAACAAAAATATGATACTAGCAGATATATTAATATTAAAAATATAAAAAAATATAAGATTTTATTAAAACAATAATTATAGATACGGACTTTTAAATTGCATATTTATTATTTATAAACATCAAAAATACTTGAGACTAAGAATTTGAATGATTTTTTTATACGTAGTCACTAGGTAGTAATAAATGTAAAAATAAAATATAATAAGTTTTCTGAAATTGAGCCGCCGTTAACAATTTGGCAATGTCAGACACACACTACACTTAAATAAACTCACTGTATACATATAATAAGAACAAGCTAACGCTTAAGGGTGCCTAAGTTTGCTTAGTCAATACTTAGATTTAACAAGACAGCTTAATAAAAATCGGTTATATTTGCCAACTGAAAGACGTATTTTTAGTTTCACAAATGAGAAAAATTGCAACATTACAATTTTCCACACTTTTCTTTAAATTATCATCAGATTTAGATAAAGGTCTAAGCAGCGCATGTTGCCGATGGTAACTTATGAAATGGATACATGGACCTAATATACTGCTAATAAACAAGGAAATAATTGCCACATTATCATTAAATGAGATTCATTTTAATAGGCACAATGACATGACATGCGACTAAGAATAAGAATGATTTTTCTCTATAATATCTCCATTATTTGCCTTTAAAAGGAAATATGTTTTTTTTTTATATAATACGTGTAAAAGCAAGCAAATATAAACTCCTAAACGTCCTAGTAGACCATCTGCTGCGATTTTTTTTCACCACTGATCAAACGAAACCGATGACTGACAAAGAAATCCGAACACAATAACTATCTGCGATTTCATTCAGAGATATTTGTAGCAGTCAATTCGAAGCGACGTAGCTGAATTGACAAACTCGCGAAGCATATGACATTACACTTGATACATATGAAATATTCCAAGCCTACTGCTAGGCGTATATAGAATGTCTATGTAGCTATACAACTTTAGAGATACCTCTGCTCGGAGTTACACTGTGTGATAAAGTTCAAAAATAAGATGTCCACCAAAGAATCAAAGTAACCTATTAATCCAAAGACTGACTATTTGTTTTTTCGAAGAATCAACAAACAATAGGAAGAAATATTCTTCAACGACAATGTAACAGCAAGGGACTCTTCTTTCACTAACTCAAAACTATGATACATGTAGTCTATGAAGACGGTTTATGTTCAGCAATGAACAATTAGGTACAAAAAGCTGAAATAATTATGATTATAAAGATTTAGATAAAAAAATAATACTTTATATAATATTGTCAAGTTTATAATACCTAGCTTAATGATTAAATAATAAAAATCTAAACAATTGTGTCCTATAAGCTATTATTTATTGTACTATGAATACGAGTATAATAATACCTTTATACTTATGCCATTAATGCCGTAAAGTTTACAAAGTAAACGGGATCATTGGAGAAACAATTCTAGTACAGCTAAAAGTGGGCGTGTTTGCAATAAACTTGAGACATGGATTGTGGTAGTACTCAAGTATACTTGTGTAGAAATACGTATTGCAGGAAGATAACGTTTTTATTTCTCTCACTCGGCACTCCTCAGGGATTTATTGTAGATAGTGCGATAAGAACGGGGCTGTTGCTGAACTCTATGAATCATTTGAATAGAAACTAATATTTGTTACAGAAACAATATACTTGTAATAATAATTATTGTATACGTAATATATTTGTGGTAGAAAGATTTATCTTCCATTTAAGTAGTATTTAATATTTATGAGTAAGTACTGCTTGTAGTAATTTTTAAATTATTTACTAGCGAGCTGTATTTTGAAATTTGTTCTAGTAAATAATATATTAATAACACAGCCTTATTCTAATATCAAGAGGAATAAATATTTGGATAATATATGCACATAAAATTTAATATTTTGACAACAATGTAAAATATTAAAATATATCGTTAAATATACTGGTAGTCGAAGGAGATAAATCGTGAAATCTAAATTTGACTAGCTATATTAAGATATTTTTTTACAAATAGCATAATAAATTGTGACTACTGAAAAAAGCGTAAAGAGGAAATTTATACATTATTGAAAATGTGTAAAATTAAATATGAAAATTTCTACATATGAAACATGCTAAAAACTAATATTTTAAGAACATTAATGAAGATAAAGTTCCTAAAATACTAAATACATAAGGAGAATGCGAGTAAAACTAAGAGGATAACAAGAAAACATTGTTACCGAACGGAGTTAAAATAAACCACATACGCTATCGAAGCTGCGCTCAGTTAATTAACAATACGCTTAAAAAAAGTTAGATACCACTTTTAGAATTAAATATAAATTTACTGATAAATTTATATACGAGTATCATAAATTATTTTTTATTGAATGATACCATGGCTTGTATATAGTAGATGTTGGTCGAAATTTTCTCATTTCACTTCACTACAGTACAATTACTTATATTTTATTTTAACTATAATTTTTATACATTAGTAATATATATAATGTAATTAATTATGTATAAACTTAGGTTTGTCATTCTACACGCTGACATTGATGCTTCTTTCCACTTTGAGTTTGCTAGAAGAGAACTCTTTTAGAGTTAAGCTCACCTTTGTGCATTTGATTACCTGTGTCATATTTTTATATATAATATATATTGCCGAATATACATACATATGTAAGCACACCACCTCAGTATGGCTGCACCTACTTTGTAATTTTTTTTGTTGCGTTTGTAATTGTCAGAACAAGATTAGTATTAGTGAAAAATATAAAAGTTTAGGTATAAAATTGTTTATATATAAAAGTGAGATAGAAGATTACAAACGAATTTATAGAAAGAAGTTAGAGAGAGAAAGGAAAGATTTGGGTTTCATTTTCTTTATTAATTAGAATTTTAAATTATTATTAGAAATTAGAGCGAGCAGTTCTATATGCCCACAATTCTCCTTTGTATAATTCACGATTAATAATTGTCTGATCATAAACAAGTTTAATTGCCTCTAACTACCACATTAAGGATTACAGCCGTAAGTATGTTTTTATTTAAGTGTCTATACGCACAATAAACGTGAAGCATTAGAACAACCGATGTAAATTTATTACCATTCTTCTATATCTCTCGCATTTTATTTTGTTCCTTTAATTTGTTGTGGTGACCTACATCCCGTGTGTTCGTGCTCCTATCCTAATTCCATTGAGGTCAGAGTCCACATTTAGAATGGGTCTGGATCTGGTTTACCTTACAGTGATATATAAATACCTTTATTAAAAATATTATTCTATTTTTACTAGGTACTTTATGCCTTGAATATTAGGAATACTGGCTGTAAAAATGTTATTGTAATATTACTTTTAGTAATATTATCTATTAGTTTTTACTCGTGACATAGACCGCGTTACTGAGATATGTTCGGTGACCACAAAAAAAAACACATATGCCTTTCTCCACCCTATGTACATGTACTACGTGTACTACTATCCTATGTACCTGTGTATGTCTACGTAATACGTGTATACCAAATTTCGTAGTCACTGGTTAAGCCGTTAAGGCACTATCATCTAAGAACAAAATGCCCATGGTACACTTCAAGCGTCACCATTAGTGAGAAGTATAGTATTAC